TTTTACCCCTGTCCCCCATCCTGTCCCTGTGCCCCTCCCGGCTCTGTCCCCGTGTCCCCGCTCCCGTCCCTGTGTCCCCCCAGTTTTACCCACTTGTCCCCCACTCCCCTCCCCACGCCCAAAGCCCCCCCGGCCCCGCTGTCCCTCGGTGTCCCCACAGGACCCCGATGTCCCCCTCAACCCCTCCGGGGGTGCAGCACATCCCTGGCAGTGGTGGCAGGAGGGGACACTGTGACAAGGGCCCGGACTGGGGGGTACAGTGTGCCCCCCCCCCTTTCTGCACAGCCGGGGGATATTTTGGGGGGATTATTTGCATTTTTTGTCCTCACATTGAGTGCCTGAGGGCGAGGGGGCAGACCCCACCCCCGGGGCTGTGTTGGGGTCCCTGCTGCGGGGGGAGGGGGGGAACAGGGAACACCCCTGGTCACAGTGAGGGGGCAGCAGGACCCCGCAGATGTGTGATTGTCCCCTCCCCGTGTCACCCACGGCACCTCCGGCCCTTTGTGCGTGACGAGGCGTGACGTGACACGGGGGGGCGGCCCCCCACGACCACCCCCTCCCCTCCCCTTCCCCTTCCGCCGCTGCCATGGCCCCCCCCAGGTCCCCGTAGCTGCCACCCCCCTCTGTCCCAGCGCCCCCCGCTCGTGTCACCGTCCCCACGCAGCGCACACGCGTCTTCCCGTCTCGCTGGTGGCCATGCCGGGGGGTCTCGGCTGTCCCCAGGTGTCCCCAAGTGTCCCCCCCCGCCACCCCGCTACCCCCGAGTGGGGGCACTGGGACAAACCCACCCTGGGGACACCTCGGGGGGACACGGGAGCCCCTGGGCAGCCCCGGAGCGCCGTGCCTTGGTGACAGGAGGTGGCGGTGGAGGGGTGTCCCCTGTGGGACCCCCCCGAGGGCCCCCCCGGCCCCGCTGCCTCCGTCAATCAGCGCTGGCCCCGCTCCCGGCGCCGCGGACATGGAGGGCCCCGAGCTGCTCCGGCTCTGGGTGCTGGCAGGCGAGTGACAGCCCTGTCACCCCCCGGGGGACACGGCCGAGCCTGGGGGGAGCGGAGGGGAGACCCCAAAGTGGGGGGGGACACAGGGGGTGCAGCGAGCTGGGGGTGTCCAGGGAGGAGCTAAAAAAAGCCACCCTGTCCCGGTGCCACGGGGGCTGGGACACTGCGGGGACAATGAGTGGGACTTCTGTGTGACACCAGGGCCGGGGAGGGTGCCGGGGCCATCCTGCCCCTGTCCCCATCCCATCCTGTCCCCTGCCTTGCCCCAGCCCTGACCCTGTTCTGTCCCTGTCCCCCCTAAACCTCCTCCCGCTCTGGGGACACCTGGCACTGCGGGGACACGTTCCTGCCCCTCTGAGAGTCCCAGGGGTCTGTAGGCGCTGGGGAAACTGAGGCAGGGAGGGGCCACGGTCGCAGCCCTGGCTCCAGCCCGGTGTGTGGCCACAGCCCTGGCCCTGGGGGTGTCCTCGGCCACTGTCCCCGAGCACCACGTCCTCCCCGAGCTCCGCGTCTCCGCCGAGACCGGAGCCATCTTCGTGCACGAGCTGGAGCGGGAGCCGTTCCTGGAGGCCTTCAGCGGCAGCGAGGATGACGATGGTGAGGGCCAGGCCGGGGGACTGGGGATGGCAAAAAGGGGGGCATTGCCCAGTGACCCCCTCCGGAACCCCCCAGCTGTGCTGTCTGTCCGTCCGTCTGTCCCCTTTGGGGCTCCCACTGCTTTGGGCTCCCCCTTGAGGGCTCCCCTCTGTTTGGGGTCCCAGCTCAGAAGTGGAGCAGCACCCCCAGGGGCGATCCCTTTGTGGGGACCCCCTGGCAGTGCCCGTGTCCCCGCAGCCCCCGTGACCTTCCGTGCCCACCTGTGGGAGCGGCCGGACCTGCCGCGGTGGCTGCGCCTGGCCCAGCGCGGTCCCGGCCAGCCCGGCTTCCTGTACGGCTGCCCGCTGCCCCCCGAGCTGGGCACCCACCGCCTCCAGGTACGGCCCGGGCTCCGGGGGGGGGGCCACGAGCACGGCTGGCCCATGCCAGATGTCCCCTCTGTCCCCTCAGGTGCTGGCCTACAACCGGCGCACCTTCGCCACCGCGAGCCAGCGCCTCGTCATCGGTGTCACCCCCGCCCCAGGTATGGCTGGAGAGCCCCAAACCCCCCCGGGATGGCCCCGCGGTGGCCACGGGGTGTCCCCACAGGTGCCACCTGTCCCTGCAGGTGTGCAGGCATTCCCCGTGTCACCCGTGTCCCCCCATGTTCCCCTGTGTCCCTTGTGTCCCCGTGTTCCCCTGTTCATCGGTGTCACCCCCGCCCCAGGTATGGCTGGAGCACCCCAAACCCCCTGGGATGGCCCCGCGGTGGCCACGGGGTGTCCCCACGGGTGCCACCTGTCCCTGCAGGTGGGGAGGCGCCGTTCCAGGCCGAGTTCCTGGTGGGGAACAGGGACGTGGAGGAGCTGCTGCCGGAGGCGGCGCGGGAGATGTTCCTGGAGGCCGCGGCCGGGCTCTGGGACCGCGGGGACCTGCACGTCATCAATGTCACCTCCGCCCTGGACCGCGGTGGCCGCGTCCCGCTGCCCATCGAGGGTCGCAAAGAGGGGTACGGGCAGCGCCGGGGGGGGGGTCCCGGGGACATGCTGGACCCCCCGCGGGGGTTTTGGGATCACCTCGCAGCAGCGGTGGAGGTGAGCGTGGCCCTCTCCTCACCGGGGCCGGGTTTGGGGTCGCTGTCGCCAGGGTGTACGTCCAGGTGGGCTCCCACAGCCCCTTCTCGCCGTGCCTGGTGGCGGCCGTGTCCCCGCAGAGCCGCTCCCGCTGTCACCAAGGCCAGCGTCCCCTCGCCTCCTGCTACGACACCTTCGCCCCCCACTTCTCCATCCGCTGGTGCAACCTCACCCTGGTGAGACCCCCGTGTCCCCCTGTGTCCCCTGTGTCCCCCTGTGTCCTCCCGTGTCCCCCCATGTCCCCCGTGTCCCCCATGTTCTCTCATGTGTCCCCATAATCCCCTGTGTCCCCTGTGTCCCCCTGTGTTCCCCAACGTTCTCCTGTGTCCCTGCAGGTGGGGCCCAGCCCCAGCACGCCGGGGCCGGAGTGGGGGCCGGGGGTGCTGGACGAGGGGGGGGGTTTCGAGCCCCCCAGCGAGGTCGCCCCCCGGGAGCTGCTGCCCTCCTTCCTGGTGACGCTGCTGGTGCCGCTGGCGGTGGCCGCGCTGCTGTGCCTGCTCCTCGGCCACCTCATGTGCTGCCGCAGGGAGGGAGTGTGAGTCGGGGGGCTGGGGGGGTCCCCTCACCCTGCCAGGCCACGGGGACCCCGGCCCGGGTGTCCCTTCCCCGATTTTTGTGACCCCGGGACAGCCCGGGGGGGGTGAGAGCCCTTCTCACCATAAATATCGGGTTTTTTTTTCCTTTTTTCTTCTGTTTTGTAGGGAAAAACGGGATTTGCAGACGTCTGAGTGAGTCCTGGTTGAGCTGTGGGGGTGCTGGGGGCTGCTTTGGGGGGCTGCTTTGGGGGGCTTTTTTGTGGCCAAGCGTGGGGACAGGGCGGGCAGGAAAAGGGGACAGGAGCAATCGGCTCTTTGGGGGTGCCATGGAGCCCTGAAGGTCCCCCTGCCCCAAAGGGGCCCCTTCCAGCCCCCTGCACCCCTGGGGCCCCCCAAAACCCTTCTCAGACACGGGGGGTGGGGCACAAGGAGCTGCTTCACTTCTGTGACAGCCTCTGAGGGACCCCGGGCAGGGAGGGGACCCCAAAGATGAGGGGCAGACCCCAGAAACGACACACAGACCCCAGTGACGGGGTTCAGCCCTCACTTTTGAGGGTGCAGACCCCAATAACGGCATTCAGACCCCACTGAAGAGTGAGCAGACCCCAGTGATGGGGTGCAGACCCCAGTGACGGGGTGCAGACCCCAGTGACAGGCTGCAGACCCCAGAGACGGGCTGCAGACCCTCATTTTGGGGTGCAGACCCCAATAACGGCATTCAGACCCCACTGAAGGGTGAGCAGACTCCAGTAACAGGGTGCAGACCCCACTGAAGGGTGAGCAGACCCCAGTGATGGGGAACAGACCCCAGTGACAGGCTGCAGACCCCAGAGACGGGGTGCAGACCCCAGAGACGGGGTGCAGACCCTCATTTTGGGAGTGCAGACCCCAGAGACCGGGCGCAGACCCTCATTTTGGGGGTGCAGACCCCAGTGACAGGCTGCAGATCCCAGTGACAGGCTGCAGACCCTCATTTAAAGGGATGAAAATCCCAATTTCGGGGCGCGCACCCAAAACACCATCTGCTCTGACCCCACCGCCGGCACAGGGACCCCCAAGGAGGGGATCCTGAGGGGGGCCGGGCTCCATGCCGCGCTGTCCCCGCAGCATCCAGCTGGTCCATCACAGCTCCATCCTGGGGGACACGCGGGAGCTGCGGCTCATGGCCGGCCGGCGGGACGTGCCCCGGCCGCTCTCCACGCTGCCCATGTTCAACGTCCGCACGGGCCAGCGCTCCGACCCCATGGCCAGCGCTCGCCAAGGGGCCCGCGCCCCCCTGCTCCCACCCTGAGGGGACCCCCGAGCCGCGGGGACAACGCCAGAGCTGGGAACGGCGTGTCCGGGGTGGGTTTTGGGGGGATAAAACCCCCGCAGGGAGGAGCAGGAGGAGGAGGAGGAGGAGGTGCGGGTCCGGCTGGGCTCTGCCCGGAGGATTTGGGGTGTCGCCGCTTTCGGGTGAATTTTGCTGCATAAATTGAGGATTCGATGATGAAATGAGGCTTTTCTGCTTTATTTACCGGCTAGGTTTGGGGGTGCTCAGCCACGACCCCCCGCAATCAAAACTCACAACCCCCGCCCCCCCCAAACAAAGACTGGGGTGGCTCCGAGTGACCCCCCCCCCCAGCCCCGTGGGGGGACAGGGCAGCGGGATTGCGACAAAGAGGGGGGACACCCAACCCATCGCAACCCCCTCCCCTTCTTTCCTCCCCCCTCATCCCGGGATGGGGGGGCTGGGACAGGAGGAGGAGGAGGAGGAGGAGGAGGGAGCACGGGCAGGGAGCGGAGCGCAGAACTCGCCGCGAGCAGAGCGGGATCGGCCAGGACGAGAGCGGGATCGGGAAGGAGGAATTCCCAACATCGCCCAGCCAGGAGCCCCCCAACCCCCGAGCCCCCCGAGAGCGACGCAGAGCAGCCCGAGGTTGGTTTGGATCATTTCACATGCCTTTATTTCAGCAGTCAGAGAGAAAAAAAAAAAAAAAAAATTATCCATTTCAAAAAAAAAAAAAAAAAAAAAAAATTAAAAAAAAAAAAATTAGAAAAGAAGAAAACCCCCGAACCGCTTTAAAATTATTAATCACTTCATTAATTAATTATTATTATAATACATCATACAAAGTAGGTACAAAACCCTGGGGAAAAACTGGAGCTGGGCCCGGCAAAGGGAGTGGGTTCGTGGCCCTCCGTGCCCGGGGAGGATGCGGGGATGGATGGAGGGATGGATGATGGATGATGGATGGATGGGTGGATGGATGGATGGATGGAGAAAAAGCTAATGGAAGATGAGAGCGGAGCTGAAGTTCCACCTGCTCCGCCTGGAAAAATCGATTTATTCCTTTTCCCCTTGGAGTTTGATGCCTCTTGCTTTGCGGGATTTGCTCGTGGGGCGGTGAGGTGGGGGTAGGAGGGGGGAGTAGCACCTTTGGAAAATTCCCCAGTGGAGCTGAGCAGCAGGAAAAAAAAAAAAACAAAAAAAAAAAGGAGGGAAATAAAGCATAAAATAGAGGGGGATTACAACAGAGCAAGCTGAGACCTCTTTGGAGGTTGTAGCACCAGGCGGTCCCGGGGTTGGGTGTTCCGGGGCCAAAATTAAAGAGAATATTTTAAAATAATAATTAAAAAAAAATCCCAAAAAACAGGATAAAAATCCTGAGGGAAAGAAACCTCCAAAGGAAAATAAGAGAACAAGACAGCAACCAAAGAGAGAAAAAAAGGGGTGGGATACGAGGAGAGGGAAATTAGCACCTTTGCTCTGAACCTGGCAGGAAAGTCCCGGCACGGCTGAAAAGCTCCAAAAGAAGCTAAAAACCAAAAAAAGAACCCCAAAATTCAGACTCAAAAAGAAGATGAAACACCCCGAGAGTGGTGAGGTAGCCATCCGGACAGGGCCGTCAGCGCAGGGCCGGAGCTGCTCCGCGGCTTGGGAGTGAATTGGTTTTGCTGCCTGAATGAAAATAAAATGAACAACAAACAACGAGCAAAACGAAGCAAAAAAAACCACGATAAAAAAAAAAAATAACCAGAACAAAAGGAAATGGAGAGAATTCAAAATCTGCATTATCCAAATAAAAAATAAGGAGGAGAGGGGAGAGAAAGAGGGAAAACAAGGGAGAAAAAGCAAATTCTAGCCAGGAGTTCAACATCTTCCTCACAGCAAAAATTAAAATTCTAATGAGATGCAAGAAGCGAAGGGGCTGGCGGGGAGGGGGCCTGGGGGTCCCGGGGGGCTCGGGGACCCTTTGGGGAGCTGAGCTGAGCTTTGGCATCTCCGGGGCTGAGGAATGAGGGGGGGCAAGCAAGCGAACCCACTTCCTGGTGATTTTGTTTGAAAAAGTCATTTATTTGGTTTTTTTTTTTTTAATATTTTTTGGGGGGGTTGAATGCTTTTTTTTTTTTTTTTTTTTTTTTTTTTTGGGGGGTTTTTTGGGGTTTTTTTTTTCGGGAACACANTTTTTTTTTTAATATTTTTTGGGGGGGTTAATTGTTTTTTTTTTTTTTTTTTTTTTTTTTCTGGGAGTGTTTTTGAGGTTTTTCTCTTACGGCAACGCAACCGGAGTTGTTTTAGAGACGCTGGATAGAAACCGACACAAATTCAAGTCCATGTGAAATTTTCTCCTTTTTTTTTTTTTTTTTTTTTGGCAAGTTTTTTTTTTTTGGTGTTTTTTTTATTATTATTATTTTTATCATTATTATTACTCTCTCCTGTCACGCGTGGGGCATCGTCCGGGGTTACAAGAAGCACACGGGGCCGATGTCGATGCCGAATTCCTGGTCCGGAGCGCCGACGTCCATAGGAGCCAAATCGATGATGGGCAGGCGCGAGGTCTTCGTCGTCTTGTACTCGATCACTGTCTTGCCCCAGGCGCCCGTGTGACTCTGTGGGGACACCACCGTCACCCCCCCGTCCCCAGCGGGTCCCCAAATCCCGCGCCACCCCCGGCACTCACCGTGCAGCCGTCCTCGGTGACGCCGTAGGTGAAGCGGCTGTTGCCCTCGGCGCGGATCTCGATCTCGTTGGCGCCCTGCAGCAGCAGAGCCTTCTTCAGGTTGCCGCTGGCCTGGTCCATGTAGGCCACGCTGTTCTTGCAGTGGTAGGTGACGTTCTGGGCCGCCTCGGTGGCCATGAGGCGCAGGAAGGTCAGCTGGATGGCCACGTCCGCCGGGTCGGAGCCCTCGCCGCCGTACTCGAACTGCGCGAGGGGGACGTCGGTCACCGGCGGGTTCCCCCGGCCCCTCGTCCCCACCCCGTGGCCCCCGCGCCCACCTGGAAGCCGTCGCTCATGGACTCGCCGAACCAGACGTGTTTCTTCTCCTTGGGGTTCTTGCTGAGGTACCAGTTCTTGCGGGCGATGGACGCCTGCGTCGGGTACACGCACGTCTCGCCCGTCTCCAGGTTGCAGAAGACCTTGATGGCGTCCAGGTTGCAGCCTTGGTTGGGGTCGATCCAGTACTCGCCTGAGGGGACAGGGACGGGTCAGGGACAGGGACAGGGACAGGGTCAGGAGAGGGGAGGGACAGCCAGGGGGATGGGAGAGAGGAACAGCCTGGAGGGATGAAGGGTGAAGGTGAGGAGCAGCCCCAGGGGGTGGAGAATGGAGCTGAGGAGCAGCCAGAGGGAGGGGACAGGTGAGGAGCAGTCAGGGGGATGGAACAGGTGAGGAACAGCCAGAGAGATGGAACAGGTGAGGAACAGCCAGGGGGATGGAACAGGTGAGGAACAGCCAGAGGGATGGAACAGGTGAGGAACAGCCAGGGGGATGGAACAGGTGAGGAACAGCCAGGGGGATGGAACAGGTGAGGAACTGCCAGAGGGATGGAACAGGTGAGGAGCAGCCAGAGGGATGGAACAGGTGAGGAACTGCCAGAGAGATGGAACAGGTGAGGAACTGCCAGAGGGATGGAACAGGTGAGGAACTGCCAGAGGGATGGAACAGGTGAGGAACAATCAGAGAGATGGAACAGGTGAGGAACAGTCAGGGGGATGGAACAGGTGAGGAACAGCCAGAGAGATGGAGGTAAGGAGAATTCAGGAGGGAAGAGGTGAGGAAGAGCCAGCAGGGATGAAGGATGAAGGTGAGGAACAGCCCCAGGGGATGGGGAATGGAGCTGAGGAGCAGAGGATGGAGGGATGGGAGAGGCTGAGGATGAGGGGAGGAAGGTGAGAAGGAGCCGTGGGAATGAGGAGGGAGGTGAGGAAGGCAAAGGAGGGAGCTGGGGGCGGAGCGTGGAGCAGGAAAAGAGGAAGAAGAAGGGAAGCAAACAGGAGAGGGACGGAGCAGGGAGGATGGAGGGGAGGGCAGACAGGAGAGACAGGACACACGAGGAACACCGGGAGGCGGAAGAAGGACAGAGCCGAGCAGCAGCAGAGGGGACAGAGACGGGGTGACAGCCCCGAGGGGGCCGGCGGGGACCGGGGCGACACCGACCGCTCTTCCAGTCGCCGTGGCACATCTTCAGGTCGCGGCAGGTGCGGGCGGGGTTCTTGCGGGTGCCCTCGGGGCTGCGGATGTTCTCGATCTGCTGGCTCAGGCTCTTGAGGGTGGTGTCCACCTCCAGGTCGCGGTCGCGCATCACGTTGGCGTCGTCGGCCCGGTAGTAGCGGCCGCCGTCGTGCGCCTTCTCCTGGGGCGGCTGCGGCAGGAAGCTGAAGTCGAAGCCGCCGCTGGGAGGGCCGGGAGGACCGGGGGGCCCGGGGGGGCCGGGGGGACCCTGCGGGAGGAGAGGAGGAGGATGGTGAAGGAGGAGCGGGCGCTGAAGGCGGGCGGCTCTGGGAGGGCGAACTGCTCGGGACGTACGACGGGACCGACGTCGCCGGTGCGGCCGCGGGGGCCGGGGGGACCGATGGGACCGGGCAGCCCGTTCAGACCGTCCTTGCCAGCAGCACCAGCGGAGCCGGGGGGACCCTGCGGGACGGGAGAAAAGCGTGAGCGCGGCCGTGTGGCCTCGGCAGAGCCTCCAGCCCCCAGCCACGACCCCGCGGGAATGCCGCTGGCCGTGGGGACCCCCCGCCCCCCTGCGGTGCCACGGCCGCGGGGGGATGGCGCAGCTCATCCCGGGACTCACTCGGGGACCGGCGGGACCGGAAGCACCAGAAGGACCTTGTTCACCAGGAGAGCCCTGTGACAGTCGAGGAGGAAGAAGAAGAGGCGACATCAGAGGTGACATCAGCAGCTCGCGCTGCCTCCGGGACGTGTGGCAGCACCCGGGGCCACCGTCACCCCGCGGGACTTACGGGAGGACCAGGTGGGCCCTGGAGACCGGAGAAGCCTCTGTGACCCTTCATGCCTCTGTCACCCTGTTCACCGGTTTCACCTTTGTCACCACGGGGACCTTGGGGACCCTGCAGGAGGAGGAGGAGGAGCAGGAAGATGAGTTGAGCGGCGTCCTGGCCAGTCACTGTCCCCACACCTGTGGGGGCACAGAGACACCGAGGAGGGCAGAGCAGAACATCACTTACAGCAGGACCACGAGCACCAGCAGGACCAGGGGGG